TCTTAGAGAGTAAAGTCTTTCTTTTTTATCTGTTTGAAGATGAGCTATAAAAATTTAGGGTACTGCAAACTATTTGTGGTAAATTGTAGAAATTATAAAGCAAAGCTGGTCTGGTCATGACATACTTTTAAATGTGTGTCCATCTGTGCCTCCGTCTGTTCATCCATTGAACCAGCCAGCCAGCGGTCCATTCATCCAACAGTCCATCYGGTTGTGGGTGCAACAACTCCGTCAGAGATCCTTTAACTCTCATACACTCTCCTGAACCTCCTTCAGCTTATCTGGAGGAACCCTGAGACGTTCCCAGGCCAGCTGTGAGATATCGTCTCTCCAGCGAGTCCTGGCTCTGCCCCAAGTTCTCTTCCCAGTGGGACATGTTTGAAACACCTCTCTTGGAAAACATTCAGAAAACATCCTCCACTGACTCATTTCTGCTTCCCCCACAGACAGAGCTCGTTTGAATTTGTGACTCATTTTTATTTTATTTTTGGTCATTATCCATCACTCATGAACATAGGCAAGGTTTGGAATGCAGTTGAATTGGGGAAACATCTTCACCCCAGTTCATGTCCCTATCCTCCAGTTCCTCCAATTCATTATCTTCTGGATGAGGACTGTGACTGACCTGCTAACCACTTAACTGCAAACTGTTTGGTGCCTGCAGAAGGTCACAGCTCAATGAGGTCAAGAYAACCAAAGCAACGACGCAATCCAAAACCACGCAGAGACTCTTTACTACTTGACCCATATCTGAAAAGTCTGTCCATAAAACCTGAACAAAATCAATCACTTCTAACTCACTACCAGCAAGTGCCCCTCACAGGTCACCGCAAGAGACACCAAATTACCATGAGTCTTATAAATCATTTTATTACATTTAATGAGGATGCAGAAACAACCTGCAGAGCTTTAAGAAAGAAACTTGGATTCATCTCGCTGTCTTATGTTTCAGCTCAGGCTGTGGCTCTGTAGTGAAATGTTGGATCWTCTTGTATCCGGCTGCTAACTCTCCCTCGCTCATTAAACTGCTGACATAATGTTTTCACAGTTTAAGGCAAACACTACATCACAAAGCCACTCAGAGCAAAGAGAAGGCCATCAGGAGATCCACTTTGTCAACATAACTGCCAGCCCCGTATTATTATTCCTTTTGTCAAACCATTTACACACCTGCTGGGAGGCAGAAGAGCACACAACTGCAGAAACTGGGAGTGCAAATTACAAAGGATAGACAAAAAAGAAGCAGGACATGTGCAAAAGAGCTCAAAACAATGGCATAGGATGATAAGAGAACACACAAGGGCAATAAATGCTTCACTAAATAGAAGTGAGTGCAGTGAGCTTCATATATATAGCTCCTTTTCCACATAAAAGCTGAAATTACAGGCTTGTATTCTTGGAGCTGACTGGAATCCAAAGGCAGCGAGGTTGTAAAGCCACATCCTGGGGTTATATAGAGTAAAAGAGTCGGGCAACGGTTCAACTGTGGTCTGCATTCAGAATAATCTGTAACAAACTACAAATACGTATTATTCTCAAACCACAACCCCTGTTGCAAATTTTGGCATTCTTCTCACAAGTTAATGATGGGCATGAGTGACTTTTGCACTAGCTTGTTTACCTTTATGGTAATTATTTTGAGACTAAATGCCAGAAACTTAATTTTCTTCCAAGACAAGATCTGGGATTTTCTGCTGAGACAAAGACATTACCATGGAAATGACAAAAAAAGCAATTATTATGATGATATAACCCCAGTGTTCCTCCAGTCATTGATTATAGAATAGTACAAAGAATCATCAGAGCTCCATTTTTGACATCTTCAACACCAGAAGAGATGAAGACTGAAGTTCCACGTGGCTCCACCTGACAGCTGCACCGACAACTTTCCTCTCTTTGGTTTTTTTTTCTTTTTTTCAGTTTTTGCAGGTGTGTAAACATGGCTCTTACAGGTCAGCTCCACTTGACACGCTGTCAGAGTCAGCAAGCAGAAAACGGTGTTGACAAGTGTTTTTGCAGTGACAACACGAGGCTTCTCAAATGCTCTCATGGTGACAGGAGGGCTGCACAAAACAAAATGAGCGACTGCTGCACTTAGTCTTTTGTTTTTTGGTCACTTACCGATGTGTTGGACCAAAACATTTCTTTTTTTTTTTTTAACAAATTCAAATTTTCATTAAATAATCTTAATCTTTTCTTACAATGGGGCTAAAAGTGTTTTGTCATTCCCCTCCATCATCGGGGAAAGTTAAATTATTTGATTTCTTGTAGATGTGCTTACTTCTGTCTGTCTTGCTAAAGTTTTAATCAAAGATTAAGCACATAGAGTATATCATGGGGTTGATTCTCAGCTACTATCACAACAAAGTTTAGCGCCACAAAAGTAAAACTATCCTAGTTTTAGTCATTTTTGTGTTTGCTATTTTCAATTAGCTGCGAAGGCCATCTTCAATATTACAGACCCCAAACATTAATCAGTTATAGATTTACATCTACTGATTACTACTTTCATTAAAATCCTTTCTCTTGTTCATGCGATATTTTGTTAACAGACAGACAGAGAAATAAACACAATCACATAATAATATAGTCTCCTGCCTTATGGGGAGTTGATTCTTTTTTGCTAAAAAAGACAATGAAATAGATCATCTCTGAATAGATGAAAATTTTGTCAATAATAAACAAAGCGAATATGACTTCCTCACACTGCATTTTTGTTACCCTACTAATCTGAAAACAAAGGAAAACATCTAAACACACACCATGTTTTCTGTTTCTGTGTGATGTCACGGCATCTCTGTTCATCTTATTTTTACAGTTTATAATAAAGATCTGGTGATTTGAYCTTCTCTTATCTTTAAGAAGCTTGTCGAGGTTCTTGCCACAGTTTAAGTTTTTCTCAGATGCTGAATTTTGTGTCAGACTGTCAAACACACAGGGTGACGGGGGCCGTCTCTCCGTTTTAAATGTCAATACTTTTCACTCTTCATTGCATTGCTTTGATTTAAATGTCATCTTGTTTATCAGGGACAATGTGTATCTGTGACTCTTAAAAAAGAAAAAAAAAAAACGTGGGAAAAATTAGCTGAAAACCAAAGCAGATATACACATTTATCTGTCTGTATGTCTGCGCCACATCGGTTGATGCAAGCGATGAACTTTTGCATAGTGCTGAGTGAGGTCTTTGCATCAGACTAGAGGAAGCCTTGGCTCACTTTTGAATAAATAAAAACCCCTGGGTCTGAAATATTCATCACAAAAAATTACACAAGAGTTACTAAACCTACACTGCTCTGCATCGAAGGGAGTCAGCTTTAGCACATTTCTCTCAGTCATAGCTGCTCTTTCATTAAAAAAAAAGTCGATGGAGGATGTGCATGAAGTAAAAAAAAACTGAGCTAGATGAAAGAGAGACGCGCTTTTCCTCCCCTTTCGTCTTTACCGTCAATGTCATGGTGCTATTTTGGTCCCTGGATCTTCCTCTCTATCTAAAAMGTGGCTAATACAGTTTACAAAAATCTCATCAGCTCATGTTGCTGTGTTCATGTGTCTGTATGTTAGAGGGGTGGGGGTGGGTAGGGGGGTGTTATAATGCATGTAGAGTTAAATCCTCCGCAGTGGGAAAGGGATTATGACAAGCTCTTGCTTAGATCACAGGAAGGCCCGAGCAGGGGGGGTTGGAGCGAGCAAATATTTAGTCTGTGCGTGGAACAAGGTCACTGCAGTTAATCAAATTCACTGTAAYGCTACGTGCAGGCACTGACATTAATAAACAGATGAGATGTTGAAAAGAATAAGATRACTCAGGGTAAAATCTATTGCAAGTGATGGTGTCAGACTGCAAAGGAGTAAAAAAAAAGAGAGAAAAATTAGGGAACGTTAACCTTGCAACAAAAATAGATGCAGGAYATGTAGTGGCTGCTGTGACATTCTGCAGAACATTGAACATCATCATATTTAACCAGCTACATAACATGCTCAAGCAGAACAATGCATAAATTGTATGGGTGCGTTTGAATGGCAATTAATTTTATTACCAGTTTGTTGCTTTTAAAAGCTTCTGCAGAAGCCCCACTGAGAGCTAGACCWTTTTACTGAGGGTGTTCTTGTACAGTTGCAGTGAAAATGTTCATATGAGTCAGCCGCTGCCTGCTCTGTGCAGATCTTGAATGGTGAAGTCATGACTGCAGGTGGAAGTCAGTAAAAACTGGCTGTGGAAATTTAAACCTTGAACAAAATCATCAAATGTATAACAGATGAGAAAACTGATGGATCTTCAAGCGAAGCAGGTGAAATCAGGTGCAGTCTTGCTTCTTGTCAGAAGCTAGTGCATTTTATACTTTAAGATGATTTCATTTAAACTAAACATACAAAAGGCTGTTTTTATGAGGGCTGCAAAATATTAAAGAAACGTGATTGTGATTTGGCTGAATTTGCTACAAAGGTAACAGCTGTGAGAAACTCCTGATCCTTCAGTCATGATGGTCACAACGTTCTCTGAGTGCACCGACAACCATCAAGGGTAATTATTATCTGATCCATCCAAAAACATTAYTGGAATACAGCTATGATTTATTGCATTAATGATTTTAGACATTTGATATTGTGATAACGATAAATCTTCAATATTTTGTGTAGTCTAAGCAATGATAGTGTCGCAAATACTTTTATGCCTAAAACATRAATACACTAAGTTTTGGAGTGTATTTATGATTAAAAAAAGGCACCTGAACTTCTTCTTTTTCTTTGATCTTGTTTTACATATTTTCCCACATTTCAGAATAAAAAGAACATGAACATCCTGCTCCCATCATCCAGATTGTCCAGACTTCAACCTTTCATCATGCGTGTTGAAGAAATCAAAATTCACTGAGATTATTATGAAAAACTTTGTGGCCAACACGAGTGACCATCTTGACACTCGATCTGTGAAATGTGAATCAATGCAATCAATACAAGTAAAAAAARGRRRAAAAAAAAGCTTTCTAATTCTGTCTTACCCAGGATCATCCTGTATCCTTCCACTTCTGTTTCCCACGTTATCTTCTGGCTTGACTCCTCTACTCTTTGATCAGCAACAGGGGTGACTCAAATCTTTGGTGCTCACATCTCTGGCTCTCAAAACTCAATGTGGAAAAAGACAACGAGCATCACAACTTTCACTTTGTTCCCTCTGTACAGTTAATCTGGTTTGCTCTCCTGGTCCACACACATACACAAAAAAATAGCTTCCTCTGCCTGTGATCTCGACACACGGATCGTCCAGCTGTTTCCAGAGGAGAAACCCAGCAGCCCGGGCTGCAACAAAAACATGCACTCAATCTACTGCAAAGAAGCCTGTAATTTATTCACTGTGATGGAWTCACTCCAGCAGGAGGAACACCGGAGAGATGGAGGCTCGCCTCACAGGAGGAACCTCTGCACTACAGCAYGCCTCTCTCTGTCTTCCTCTCATATTTTGGGGTTGGTATAACCTAAAGGCACCTTGCATCCCAAGCTGCGATTGGCCAGAGGTGCAGCCAATGAAACCGGTCGGAGAGGAGCATTTTCTTGTGGTGTTTGAACCAGAACGCAGAACGATAATGCTGCTGTCGATTCTGCTCTCCCTCCTTCTCTGTCACCCTCTCTCTGCTGTTTACTGTTAACTATTTTTCTTCTCTGTCTGCTCTTGTCTCACTTTGTGCTCAGCCTCCTTCGTCTCATCGACAACTCCTGAAATATGGGGGCATCGACRCCTGCTCTGAAAACACCCTTCCCCTCCCTCAGTGTAGCCCTGCATGTTTTCATGTTCCTGTCTCTGTGTTGATTTTCAGACAGCAGTTTGATAAAACACTGACCGAGTTCACGGTGCTGCTACGGAAAGAGACCTGGGYGAGGAAACCAAAATGAGGTGAAACGCAGACTGACAGCTCGAGAGACTGGATGAAATGTGGAGGGGAGGGGAGCGGGAGATTGAGGTTAATGTAAACTGACTCTTGCATGAAAGTGTTGGGTGTGGAAGATGTGGTGAAACAGCAGGTTGAAGGGGGAACGCTCACAGCTGTTTGACAGGCAGATGGGAAACTGCTGAATGAGCTCAGAGACTCACTGCGTGCACATTTGTACTAACTTTTATTRAAACCTATGCAAATAATAAATATTTAAAGACTTTATAAACCATTAAACTGTCACATGATAGTTGGATTTGTCTTGAACAAAGGCAAAGATAAATAGAAGAAGTAAATATGGCGCCTCTCTGTGTGTGGTTAAGCTTGTGCAAACCCAGGATAGGGTTTATGTATTTGTGCGATCAGGTTTCCTCATTAGTAGAGTCTGCCTGAATAATGCAGGCAGGTGTATTGTTGTAACCAATGGGCCAGGTGCTAATGTGACTGTCTGAGGGTTAGGGTTAGACTCAGCATGGCTTTAATGGATGTCACCGTGGGAAGACAAAACCGGTCCATTGGGTTCATGTAACAAGTCAGCATGTGTGCGAGAGTGTGTGTGACTCCTCTGGGAATCTATGACAACTTTTTATGTTGTTTGCAAGAGTTATTATAGAAAAAWATATACATGACTGTGTCCCTGGTGCTTTTAAAGCTCTAATAATTCTTATAGTTAGATACTGTATACTCAGCAATGATACATGTTGTGGTGTTGAACCAGTGTCACAGTTAAAACAAAGCACTCATAATGTGGGATTATACAGTTGAYTTAGTTATTTGTTTCATGACTAAAGCTGTTTGGCAACGAATATTTGTCAATTATTTTATGTGCGCAACCCACATACTCAGTTCTACTGCTCATCCCAGGAATGCATTTTCCTTACAAATGTGGCACCATTTAAGAGGGAAATTAACAGGCATTTGTCAAGAATCACTGTCAACTTTTTTCTTTTTTTTTCTTTTTTTTTGCCACTTCAGTAGAAAGCAGAACTGAATATCAAAAAAAGAAAGAAAAAAAGAAGGAATCACTGTCAACAAACAACAATGTACCAAACACAAATTCATTTTTATTTTGTTATTTAACTGGGCTGCGACTACCTGGTGAACAACATTTGTAGGAATCGCCAGAATGTCTCAAGACTCGTGAGAGGTTCACAGTTTCTTTGCTTAAATGGCAGGCGCGGGCAAATCTCGTCACTTTCTAAACATGTGCCATTATTAGTGTGTGTTATAGTCAGAATTTTTGCAAGAGTTTTCARCTTCTCTAGAACCCATCTTAAGTCTCCAACCTGTCTCAAGAGTTCAAAAGCTGTATTTTGACGCCTGCATGGAAGCAGGTGACAAATAATGTCAAAAAATGTGATGGCAGCTGCCAGGGAGTGTACAAAGTGAGTATGGAGAGAGCAAAACTAAATAATGCTGATGGTCCATATTGCAGTTTTGCAAACTGTGTACACTGTTAACTTGGTGGTTGCACACATTTAAACAACAACTTGCTAATTTGATCACAATTCAGCTGGTCTGCAGCAGTAACATCCCAGTGAGATACCACCTTTAATTTTAGTCCTAATTTCCTTTCAGGAGAAGCTTAAAATGGATAATAAAAAAAGACTCAGTTCACTATTTTACCTGAAGCTGAAGATCCAACTCACTGATGTCCTAAAAAAATAGCGAAAAGTTGCCCAATTATTTTGTAACACACCACAGTGCTGCTTCACAGCTTCTGACTGGATTAGCATAAAATATTCTGTGGATAATTTCCAATAATTCAGTTGTAAGGTTAGTTTAAAATGTTTATTTTGATTATGTACATTTATAGCTTAGTTTAATGACTAAATACCCATAAACACAATGAAACTCAAACAAAAAAAAAATTGAATCCAAGCTAAACAAGCTTACGTTAAAATGAACTAAGAGGATTTTCTTGTATCAGCTCAAAAACATTTGAAYGCTGAGTCTGTTGATCTTGAGTTTGTGAGTAAAGAATAGTTACTGCGCTCATTTCTGTTTACAACCTTTTTATGGCTGCGTAGAGCTCATCTTCTGGAAGCATAAAATTTTATATTGTTTACTATATAATTACTGTGGTTAAATCATAAAGAAATGACTTCTTCAATATTATTTCCAAAATGTTTAACATTGATGAGTACCTTCTGGAGCTGAGCCTGATGAACGTTATGGTCTAACGCATGTGTGTGTTTGTGCATGTGTGTGTGTTTGATTGTGTGCTTGTGACCTCTACTACACCATCCTTCTTTCAGCCTGCCCCAGTAGGCCAGAACTGTGTTGACAAGCTTGTTAAACTCTAATTTTAGCTTTGGTCGTTAGCAGTGAYGAGAGTCCTGCCAAAGTTAAATGATGTCTTCATCTGACGTCTTACACCAGTGAATTAGCCTTAACAGAGTGTTTAGTGAACTGCTTACAGGTTAGGGTGCCAATAAATGACAAAGAGCTGAAAACATCTCACTCATCTTTTCTCATGGATCTGACCTTTTGTGTTGTACGGTTAAACACTTCAGGTTTCAGATGTGAAGCGAGCTGAAGCAGATTAATTCAGTCAGACTTTTGTTGTTAATCTCTTTCATGTAAAGTGACAAATGCTGTGTTTCTTCATATCTGCCTGCACGTTCTGCCACACAGCACACTGAGTGGGTGTTTGTTGCACCACGTGTTAAAATAAGAGGTGCATGAATGAAAACCATGGATGACCTTCACGCATCAGACATAAACACACATTATACACACACACACACACACACTGGACAATCTCTGCAGCATGAGAACGATCAGCACTATCATCCTTTGATGTCTGTTATGTAAGATTTGGATTTTTATTGAGTCTTTAATRCATTTCACACGCCTTACACTGATACAACACAATCAAACACATAAACTTGCAGGACGCCCTTGTGAACTGGGTCACACAGATAGAAGAGGTTATATCCCCTTTTTCAATGATGTCATTTCCAGAAGGTGTGACTCTGTTTTGGGCAGAGGTGTTAAAGTGACTGTGTTATGAAAGAATGGTGCCAATCAGCAATGACCCCAAGTCATGAGTTGGCCCAGCTGAAAAAGGTTGTGGTAACCCCTGTATATGCAGATATGTATTATTCAAGCCTAATACTGAATCAATTTCCTGTGCATATGGACTTGTACTTTGAACGATTTGATTTCTTTCTGTCAGGCACAACAACCTTAGTCTACCAGCATTACACAGCATCCACCCAATAGATCTTACAATCTGTAAACAAATCAGAGGTTGCCCAAAATGCTTTTAAATGAGTCAYACACACCCAAAATTATTCCTGAGCATTGAAATAAAAGTCTGACAAATTAAATCAAATATATATCAATACATCTAACTGTTGGTAATCAAACTGAGCAAGTAACCAAACAAACAAAAACTGTCAGACAACAGAGTTACGATCAGCCTCCAAACAAAACAACATAAAAATTAGCCAAWGTGCTAACTCCAGTGCTTTTATATTCTCTTAAATATTTATTAACGTGTTCAGTTCTATTTATTAAAAATAATTAAAATGCAAAATTCTGCATACACTTGAAACATTAATGCCATATTCATGGCGTTTCTTCTGTATATACAGTGAGTTCTTACTTTTATAATAAAACAGGTTATCACAAACACAGTATTGATGCAAAAAATAATGTTTAATGAACTATAATGTAGGGTGGATTTTTACCTTGCCTCCTCTTGTTTACGTTTATGAGTCATGATGCATTTTTTAATGCAGAAACACACAAGTTTTAATGTTACGTTCAACATTTTTCCCCACCACACATCTTCCTCAGGCAAAATCCAATCTTTGAATTGTAATTTTATTGACTTCTTGTTTCAACCACCTTGGGCTTTGTTTATGTGCACGAAATAACTTCTATCCTGCCATGAAGCAAACCGAGGAACAGTTTGAATGTCAGGAAACATACAAAGTGAAACAAAAAAAAAGGTTAATTCTCCCCCTGTCTTTTGATTTTCTCTTTTCACTCCTTTTCTTCGTGGCACCAGTGATGTATAATAAAGGTCAGGGTCAGATCAGGTCCGGGGCTTTGCATTCACTAAGACCTGCAGAAGCTTGCTCTAACTTTCATCAAAGAGCCATCATTCACTTCATTTCTGCTCAGAATATTGAAGCAATCAGAGGATCATTCTTAGTCTTCTTAAAGGAGATGAAAGGACAAGTCTCAGAGTGGACATTCATGGTCTTACCTGGGCCCCACATTGGTTGTCTCTCCTCTTCACGGTGCTCAAAGTGATCTAGGTCCTTTGTTCAGTAGTCCAGATGTTGGTAAAGTCACAAGGATTATGTCCTCTCTGAGTAGAATAAAACCAGTATTCTCAAGTTATCGAGGTGAGATGAATGAAGTAGCRCTCAACGGCATGAGTGCAGAGCTTCCACCAGTCAGCTGGAGAGCAGAGAGGGAAAAGCTGGCTGCAGGCAGCCACATGCCTTCAGTGACGCTGCATCAGACTGCAAGCATCTGCATGTTTGTCTTCTTTATCTTCCTTTTTCT